CATAGCGTAGTCTCTAAATTCAGTTTTATATCTAAGAAGTTACTTAAGGTATATCATAAGAAGTTAACTTATTAAATATAGTTTGTTCATTTAATCTTTATTTTTATTTAACTTAGTAAAGGCAGGGGGAAAAAAAGACAAAATTTCACATTAACTGAATTCCTAAAGACAAGTTTCAAACAGCAATCATATGCCACTGAATAGACCAGAAGAACAATTATGTTCTATACTATGGTATTCTTTGTCATTCCCAGCATAGGAAAATTTCCAAACTAGAAGTTAATTGAGAGTAAGTGGCCTGTTTTAGAATTTAATTACATTGAATATTTCCTTCTAGATTCCTTAGTTTTTTTGTTTGTTTGCTGCTCCAAAAGTGCTCTATCCAAGGCCAGTCCTACCTTTAGTTCCTCATGGCTATTGAGACCTTTCTTTTAGAATCAATTATCATTTTATTTCTCTCCCTCCATATCTGAGGCCCTATCCCTCAGTTTTCTCCCCTTTTTGTTAGAGTGATGGTAGTAAAACAAACTGAAAGACTGACAGTTCATAAAGGTTTCATTATTGTTGGTATTATATTGGTATTATATTGGTTTATCATGCTGTGTGTAAAGGGTGATAGTTTAAGTCTTAAGTTTTTCTGTTGGAATAAAACATATTTCCAGAAAAGTCGCTTTCCTTCCAAAAGGTTAGTTAAAAATTGGTATTAAGCCTGTTCATAGAAATTAATTTTGCTAAAGAATTGAGTTCTTGAATTTAAATGAACCAACTAATATAGTCAATATGAATAATGAAGCCCAAGGCTTTCCTTCTTTCTAATAGTAAAAGATTGTAAAAATTGTAAAAGTTCTTTAAAAATCCTTTAAAAATTCTTCAAAAATTGTGTTTTATTTGGTGTATGGTTATAATTTTAGGGTTCACCATTTCTGACCTTTAGAAATTTCTAGATAATTGACAAGTATTTTAATGGGAAAGTGCATTGAAGATCAACATTGCCTTCAGATTGAAGACATTTGACAACATTTATTTTCCATTTATTTGTACTTATGTAACTGAGAAGTGATGATGTGTACTGGTATGCTTCTCTTTTGTTTTAGTTATTATTGTGCTACAGCATTAGCTGCTATGCATTTGTTGGGAGTTTTAATTCAAGTTTTAATCAGGCTATTATTCTTTTCTGTAGATTTGTTAAGTTTTTTTTTTTCTTATATTCCACAGGAAGTTTAGCATTTTAAGGTGAGTTGTTTTTAAAACTTCAAGCTATAATTATCAATGTTCATGACTCTGAGCTGCAATAAATAGTGGTTTGGGGGATGCTTGTAAAACTGTTATTACTAATCATAAATCCCTAAGTTCTCCAAAGAAGATCCTCCATTATCTTTTATAGACTAGTATCACCTATGCTGTACAAAGCATACATATTCTCATGGGTGAGGAAGGCACTTCTGAGAAAAAATTTTTAATGTTTATTTTTGAGTGGGGGAGGGCAGGGAGAGCGGGAGACACAGAATCTGAAGCAGGCTCCAGGCTCAGAGCTGTCAGTACAGAGCTTGATGTGGGGCTCAAAGCCAAGAACCCTGAAATCATGACCTGAGCTGAAGTGGGACGCTAACTGACTGAGCCACTCAGGTGGTCCTAGGGAGGTACTTTTGAAATCATATGTGGCTAAACCATGAAATGTAATTTTAACTAAAAATATACATTTGCCAATATTTTTCTCCATTAAACCTAAAAAGCAAGGGAAATATGTTCCCACTTTCACGTTTTTGGTAGCTTTAAATCTAGATTCTGACTTCTTTTTTGGCTATAAGTAGGCATGTCTGTATCCTCGTCTTGTCTGGAGTACTGATCTTATGCTTTTTCTTTTCCTTTCTTTTTTTCTTGAATAAAATTTGAAGTGTCAGTATGGTCTAAGTTGAAGGTGAGCAGAAATTATTTTAACTTCATTTCAATAATTATTTTTTAAAATAAAAATACACATCAGTGCTATAGTAGAAGTGAGTGATCATTTTGGGGAAAGCCAAAGCATATCCTGGTGACTACATCAAAATGTTACTAGTACGTTGAATTTGTTACTCCTCATAGATTCACATATAAACAATGACATCTCTTACTTATATAAAAATACCTATTATTTTAGGTACCTAAACCTAAACCTACTATTTTATATTCCCATATTTTCCAGTACATACTTTTTAAAGTAGCATGGAATAAAAATATTTTTGAGAAATAAACCTTGTCAATGGCAAGTGTTTAGATCATATGAATATAAACAGTGATCATTAGAAGCTAGTAGGGGCAACTATGTAAATAACTAATTTATTACTCTATTATAATGAATTATAAATACATTATTTATCCCTTTAATAATTTCAGAAAATGGAAATAAAACATGGTCTTACCAGGTAGGACACTAAGAAAATAAAAATAAAAGCAAAATCTGACTTCAGCTCATGGCATGATCTCACGGTTCGTGAGTTTGAACCCCACGTGGGGTTTGCTGCTGTCAGCACAGAGCCTGCTTTGGATCCTCTGTTCTCCTCTCTCTCTGTCACTCCCCACTCTCTCTCTCAAAAATAAATAAATATTAAAAAAATTTTTTAAAAAGCATAAAAATTGTAAATTTGGCTAGAGAGTCGGGAGTGGGTAGTATAAAGGCCAACAAAACCAATAACTCTACAAGTGGCTTTAAACCGTATTTGATGAAACAAAATATTGTCTACTGGGATAAGAAAGAGTATCTACAAATTTCCCACTTCTGTGAATTAGTTAATATAAAGAAGCTCATAATTGCATTTATACATCTGCTTTAATACTTTATGGTAAAGGATGATTCTTGAACGTACCATGGACTAATGCTCCTGAAATGTAACCTCTCATGACCAGCAGGTGTTTCCACACTGTCTCCCCTCGCCGCACCCCCCCCCCCACTGGCTTGGGGGTTCTAATTGCTATTTGCACTTTATCTTTGAGTTATACATCTTTGCTAACATTGAATCTTGTGCTCCTCACATACCCTGCTATGTACCAGCATGATCTCTTGGAGCAGCCGTGGGTAGCTGTCTTCTTGAAATTTTGATTCAGGGCATCTAGACAATATTCCTTTCCTTAGTTCACTTTCCCTTCCTTCCATTGCCCTCTTTCAAGTTTCTTTAAAGTTACTTCATTTTCCGACAGTTGTCTAACTTAGTCTTGTGTCAGTTGAAGTGGAGTTGAGTCCTGAATGCCTTGAAAGGTTACATAAATATGGTTCAGTAAGTCATATTTTTGTGATAAAATTTCATTTTTTTGATTTTAGGAATATTCATCCTAATGAATTTGCATGGGAATTCATGAAATAGTGAAACACTTGGAAGTCTATTGCTGTGTAGACATTTAATTAGACCCAAATTTGGAACAGATTTGGAAATCACCTATAGTTTCTGTAATTCAAATGCCAGTCTGGTCAACATTACATGGTGGATATAATTTTTTACTATTGAAGATGAATTAAAGTCATTATATGTATGACTATATAAAACTTTTGCAAAATATGGTTAAAGTCGGCCTTTATAATTGTATATGATAATCACTTTTTCTTCCAATCATTATTTTATGCCATACTAAGAAGCTATCTGGAGTCTGCTTTTTCTGAATAGTGTTTAAACATTAATGTTTATTTTTGCAGATATCTTTCTTGGATTGTGTTTTCACAATTGAAAATTTCCAAGTTATCTCAAAGATAGTATCACTTTAATATGCTCAAAATAAATGTGCTTTTTGTATTCAGCTTGCTGAATTTAGGCAATAAGAGGTTGATAGGGAATATAAAATTATTTTATATGGGAAAACTGGAATTTTAAAAACCGTAATTATGTATATTCATGGTTCATGATTGATAATGTCTAGAAAAGAAGCCTTTTAAGAGGTACACATTTTACATAACCATTTATTCTTAACCTGGAGCCTTCATATTTTTCATCATACATCAGTAAAGTGAACATTGGAAAGATGTTCAGCTCCACTAATCGTGGACTCTTGGCTACTTGATATTAACCTTGAAAGCTGGAGGCGCAAGTCAAAGTTTGAAAGAAAGGTAGCATTGCTGAGCTTGTGGAATAGAATCAGCTTAAACTCAAGAACTGCGTGTTTAATCATAAAGCTGAGAATACTAGGATTAGCTGCAGACTAGGAGGGGAAACACTCAAATCTGTGTGTCGCGGGGTGGGGGTGGGGAGTCATGCAGGTTTTTAGATGTTAGAATAATCATGGTAGAAGATTCTTGCCACACACATTTATCTGTTCCAGGCATATTTGTGTGCTTATGTGCTAGCCCCTTGGGGCATGTTGGTGAATAAGAAAGATGGAAGTTGCCTGCCAGAGCTTATAGTCTATTGGAGGAGTCAGACAAACAAACAGATCTCAAGTGAGTACACTAAATAATGTTAAAAAAAAAAAAGGTATGGCAGCTATGAAGAGATAATGGAGAAGGGGAGTATCTGAGGGACTCACTTGAGGAAAATCCTCTCTCCAGAGGTGACTTAAGTCTGAAGGATGAGGGTTAGACTTGCAAAGAGGGAGGGAGAGCTGGCCTGACTGGGGAGTAAGAGCTAGGGGTGGGGGTTGGGGAAAGGCAGGTGGAGGTAGACCACGTGGCTGGAGCAGAGCCAGGAAGGGAGATGAAGATACGTTAGAGGCCAGGCGACTACTAGATGGTGCACACTTAAATCCAGGAAAAAAAAAAAAAAAAGATATTTTTTAGAAACAAAGGTAATGATTTATTCAGCACTTTTTCTGAATCCGAAAACATTTTTAGGTCTCACTACTTCATATGCAGTAATGAAACAAGAGGAGAATGTTTAAATCCCTCCAAAAAGTCAGGCTTTTACATTAAAGGGCATTTAAATGGAAACAAAAAATGAGCCTTTACCCCAAATCTACACCCTACAAGTTAAGTGTTCGGACCTCTCAGCGTGTATTTAAAGAATAATTTTCCAGGAAAGGATTGCTTATCTTAAGCGGCATCAGGAGGAGAAATTTTCTTTATTTCTATTTGTCACTTTGTTTAAGAGTCTTTCTTAAGCTCCCCGACACTGAAAGCAGATGGAAAGTGAATACATGTGAATACGCGGGTATGACACACACATACGTTGTTCTTCCCAGCTCTACCGAACGAGATGAGGCAACATGTGAAATGAATTAAAATGCTTGTCACCTACTGGATTCCGGGCAGAGGGCAGTCTTTAAGACCCAGCAGCACAGTATTTGTCTGGAGAGGAAATGTTGCTTTTTGACAGATGAGAGAAATCCCCTTAGCGCCGGCTGTGGGAAGAGAGAAGTGAAGTCAGTCACCTGGTGGTGAAGGCCAGTAAAACAGCAAAGCAGGAGGAAAATTTTTCTCTCCCTCTCTGGCTTTCTCTCTCTCCCTCTTTCCTCTCCTCTGTAGGATCCACCTCCTATTCTCTCAACTCTTTTTAGCATAACCTTCAAAGGAGGTCCTTCCCTTCAGACTTTATTATCTTCTTTTCCCCATTGAGAGAATACCTCTTAGCTGCAAGACATTTTTAAGTCTATGCAGGACTTCGGGGATTTGGTTATCGTGCCAGGGAAATTGATCATTGCTAATGCTTGGGACTCAGTGTGCTAAATTAGCTCCCAGAGTAAGCCTGACGGAGGAAGGCTTTTATCGTATACTCTTCTCTTCAGTTTGAACACATTTGCTTGAAATTTGCCGCATGATGCTGTCCAGGGAAGCAGCTTTTTTTCTTGGGATGCAGCAATTCGCTGGTTTCTAAGCTTATTGCAGAAGAAGAAATAATCTTAAATAGAGTGGATCTCCCCCCCCCCCACCCCCGTGCTTGATTCCGCTGAGCTGTGTGGCACCGAGGTAAAGATCACCTGTCACTAAATCTTCCAGGAAGTAAAACAAACTGAATTGTAATTATTATTTATTTATTTTTATTATTTTTAACCGGTGGAGGCGGCGTGATCACGGAGAATGAGACTGAGAGAAGCTGCCAGGGCTTGGAGGAGGATAAAGCTGAGTTTAGGCTGGAAACTAAAAGACTAGATTGTTTTTTGGTTCAACTTGCCCGGTTTTTCTGCACTTCCTTTAGTTTCGCTCCATGGACAGATCAACAAACCTGGATATTGAGGAGCTAAAGGTACGTGATCCTCCGGGCGGGCGTCGGTCTTGATTTCTCGCGCTCGTCTGCTCTCTCGCTCTGCTCCCCTTTTTTCCGCTGCCTTTTCCTTGCACCGCTCGAATAGTTGGTGGCCCCGTGGGACGGCGAGTGGGCATTTGGGGTGCAGCGTACCCGGGCGCAGGCGCCCCTCGGCGGGCCGAGGACGCGGAGGGCGGCTGGCACTCCCGGGCTGGGCTCCCTGCCTGCCTCCCGCTCGCGACCACAGCCACTCAGTCCTCCGCCTCCTGGTCGGAGGCAGCAGCGTTCTGGGTGCCCGTTAGCCTCGCCGGGGAAGCGGAGGCAGCAGCCTCTGCCCGCTGCTGTCGCCCGGCTGCTCCGCAAAGTTGCCCGAGCTGCGCCGCCACTTTGCCTCGGCTCCCCCCGCCCGCCCGGGGGCAGCCTTGTTTCCGCTCGGAGATTCCGGGCACCGAGGCGTCGGTGGCCAGGGCTTATGTTCGTTCCCACACTCGTGCAGACCTTATTCTCCCCACAACCGCTAACGCGGTCTCCCCCACAGTTGTACTGCCCGGGGCGCGAACTCGTGTTGTGGGGTGGGGGGGGGATGGGGGGACCGGAGAGGTTCCCCGGCTGCCCCCGCCGGGCCCCGCCGCGACCGTGCCTGCTCCAGGCACCCGGCTCTGGGGAGTGGAGAGGAGGGGGTGGCACCCGCCGAGGCTCCTTCTCCCTCCGAGGAGCAGAGCTCCGTCTGGGACCCGAGCCGCGCCCCCCGCGGTCCCCCACTCCCGCCGGACCCGCCGCTCCGCCGAGGACCCTCTCCGCACCTTCTCCCTCCCGGATCCCCGGCTCGGCCGCGAGGGGGATGGCTGGCAGGGGCATCCAGGCTGACACGTTGCCCCTCTGCCTGTGGGCACAGGCTGCCTGCAGTGCCGTGTAAAAACAGACCAAAAAACCCCTACAAAACTTAAAAAAAAAATCAACAAACCACACAATAATTTAAATGTCCCGCTCACTGTAAATGAAAAAGCGGGAAAGGGTGGGGGGGAGCTGGAAGCTGGGAGCATCTTTTATTATCCACGTTTTTTTTTTTTTTTTCCTTACCCCTAGGCATTTTCTGCACTCGACTGTATTGATTGCTTCAGAGGGTTCTTATTTATTTATTTTTACTAGAGATTCATTTCAGATGGACTGTTCAGATGAGGACTTTTAGACACTCCTACCCACTGGGGGAACTTGACTAGTAGACTTTTGCTTGGAAATGTCACGGAAAATGGATTTGTCCTGTATAGAGAGAGGGGTGGAGAAATCCCCTGTAGAGGGCAAAAGGCTGTTAGCAGCCGGCTCTCTGCCCTGGCCACGGCGCCCCGCCCCGGAGCCCGGTTCTCCTGGAGTGTGGACCCCAGATCTCCTAGTGCTCCAAATTGCATAGGAGGAGAAGGCAAGGAGGGACCTCCCTGTAGGGGTGCTTTGTGGAATCTGCCCCTGCCACAGACTGTCCATGAAGACGGAGTGGGGCGGGATGGTCAGAACTTAGACACCACTTCATTTAAGACTGGTTTTGTTAGGAAAAAAAAAAAAGAAAAAGCAAAAAAAGTGAAGTAGTAAGGAGGCATACTGCTGCTCCACTTAAAGTTGGGGAACAACAAGTTTCTGGGTTAGGGCCAAGATCACAATCAGTAGACCCTGGCCTAGAAAAAAGCCCTGCTATTATTTCTGCACAATACCAAGACAGAATATATTGTCTTTGTGTTTGAAAAGATCCCTTGCAGCTTTTTCCAAGCATCCCAATCTCTTGAGAGAGGGGGAGGTTTTATTTGAGATGCAAAAGAAAGTACATGAATGTTTGTACTGTGTGTCTCATGCAGAGACAGAGTATCCACATTGATTTTTTGGTTAAATATTAGGTGTGGAACATCTCTTAGGAGAAATGAAAAGGAAAATGGTTTGGGTGGTCATTTCTCCTGATATCGCATTAGTGTTTTGCTAGCTTAGACCCCCTGCCCCCCAAATCTTGGCACCACTAAATTGTTTAAATCAGCAAAAGAGCAAACCCACTCTGGAAGCTTGCGTCTAGTTGAGTAGAGGATCCCAGTTAAGGGCAAAACTATTACACACGAACTCAGAGATTCTTGCAGCCAGAGTGTGTTGCACTTTGCAGACAAGCAGCAAAGGGTAGAAAATGGAAGAGCTTGGGTGGGAGGGAGTGGATTGGCAATGACTGGGAAGAAGGAATGTTCAAGGCACAGATCTGTTGAGGTTGCTGAACAGTTATGTCAGGGACAGGCCACTGTTGGGAGTCTAGAATAGGTAAAAGAGGAAATGTAGTCAAGCCTTATTCAAAATGTTCGAGATCCTCTAGTTTGGGAGTACATTTGTGTAGTCAGATTTGACTGTGCTTCTAAAACCTGGAAGCTTTAAAACACATTCTGGAATATGACACTTTCTAGAGCTGGATGTACTTACTATATGTGGAATAACTTGTCTGGATTTCCTCATATTATCAGAATCCATTGGCTGGGGTTTTCTAGACAATTCCAGCTGAAGTTATTTTCTGGTGGCTTCTTACTGAAGGAGACCCCCATGGTGGTCAGTGGAGAGAGGGGAGATAGAAGCTGAGGATACTAATTTTTTCACATTATTTGCATGTTGACTTTTCTTCCCGTGATCCAAGGATGCTTACATTAAGTCACATTCATATAAAAACTACTTTCGGTGATGTTTTAAATACATGAAAATAAAAGCAATGTTCACTAGGATTTGATAAATAAATAATGTGCATAATATTACAGGGATACCATTTAGCTTAGTTTTAGATCATTAGTGCCATTATTAGGTGAAACTGCTTCCCTCAAGTTTTAGGAAAGGCAGATTTTACCAATTTTTAAAATCTTTTTTGTGGTAAACAATTTTCTCTTTATGAGATTTTAGCGAGGAATCTATTTTTTGCTACGCTGGATGTGTGGACATTGATTTTTTATATGCTGTCTTTTGCAAGTTTTTCAACTAAAGATAAACTCCAGTAATTAGGTGTTAACAGCCATTGCTGTCATTATCATAAAACTAAACATAATATGCACATTAAAAGATTTACTGGTGCAAAACTACAATGCAGTCGTATGTATAAAACCTCCTAATGAAGGTGACCATGTTTCATCATCTATTCTGCACACAAGCTCCTGATGAAACAGATCAGTGTTGAAAAGGGAGCGAGTTCTCATCCAAAGACTTTTGGTCTGTTCTTTTCCCTTTGATCTCTATCTGTTTCTCCAATAAATGCATAAACTTTACTCTGGATTTTGCCATGGTGTTTGTTTTAAAGAAGAAACAACATCAAACAACCCCAACTATGGGTTACTGCTTTGGAAATGTGCGTGTTAATGAATTTGATATTAGAGAAATCACCCTCTATCCTGGAATATCTCTGACTTAGGACTTTTTGTAATTTATATTCAAGATAATAACTTTAGCTTTTATTTTAGGTCTGTAGTTTCCCTCTTTTAAATGGGATATCTTATGCATTAGTAATTTTCGGAGCTGGCACTTATAAATTTGCTTTTTGTAATGTTTATCTGTAAGAAATATTAGGCTGAATAAATGGCTATGTTTAAGTAGTACATAAAACTTTGGTGACTATTTTACTCAGCTTTTGAAATACAAGTTTCAAGAACTTATGTTTTCAGATGCTAAGCATTTATTTGTGAATAGTTGTAATTTGCTTTGAGATCAAAACCATAAAACACATCAAGAGTACAGTATAATTTTTGCAGTCTTATTTGATCCCAGCTGTAATTTATTTATCAGGACTGTTCCTTTAATGGGATGACTGGCTAGACATTAAAATGAAATTTTTCCATTGCTTGCAGAACATAAACAATATGCTTCTGGAATATTTTCTTAATTATCATTTTATAAGGTGCAAAAATTATAAACTGCATAGTTAATCCTGAGATGCATAAAACAGCTCTTCAATAAATATAATTATACTTGTTTGAATTAATTAAATGTGGTCCAGTCACTGCTACTTAATTTTATCTCTTTAATTTAAATAAAATTTCATTTACCAAGAACTTGAAACTTGCCCTAGATAGGCCAGGAAAAAGCTTCCCTGAATAATACAATTAGGTCATTAAGAAAGTATTGCATGGGTGAGAAATGATAATCTAGCAAAAAAGAAAAATGCAGAGGTGTTTAAACAAGTGGTTGATTTTAAAATGCTGAGGTTTTAAACCAAGTCTCATAGTACATTAGTCTACAATTTCAATCAAATACAGTTGGCACTTAGAAGAATTCTAAAAAAAAATTTGTTGTTGTTGTTGTTTCGTCAATAAGACACTCAGCTCAGGAAAGTTAGGGTTGCTGCAGTGTAGGAGGCTTTGTGATGAGTATAAGTAGGTGTGTTTTTTTTGTTTGTTTTGTTTTTGGTTTTGGTTTTTATTAGTCATTCCATAGTGAAAAATAGTAGTCTCTAACCAATGTCATATTTTTAGCAACCTGCTTTATATATTCACTTCTTGGCTTAGAATTAGGAAACGTTTGTGAATACTGAATTATTTGACCTCTTTCGCATCCAAAGAAATTACAGTGTTCTCCCTCCAGGGCTAGTTCCATTTCTCTTTTGTTAACAGAAACCAGTCATGAAGACTTATAAACAGTTAATCTTGATTTCCTTACATTCAGAATATGGACCTGTTTCATTGAAGTTGAAATGAACTTCAGGTAATAATTGTGAAAGTTTCTCATTTTTATATAGTTAGGAGGGATGAGGGGGAATTTTTAATGTGCGTGGAAAGAGAATTAAGAAAAGTAAACAGTTTTGTTTAAAATTTGAGGGGAGTTGTGTAAATGACTATTTCAAAAATCTTCAGGGACCTGCTGTCATCACTCAGCAGACATTCCAAATCTTCGTCCTGGCTATTACAGCTTTGCTGATCTTCAGACTTTACCAATTGAGAATACATCAAATTTTGAAGGTCCAGTGAAAAAGAATATTTTAGGATTTATGGACTCAAAATCACAGCTACACAAGATGGCTTAATGCTGTAAAGCAATAAATCAGCATGTGTCTTTTGGGGCATTCCCTTTATATAATATTTAGTGAGGTGTTTCTCATCCTGTATTGGAATCTCAGCTAAAATGCAATTTGGCAGAGATTACAACTTTAAGTTAGTAAGGGAAATGACCACGTATTTTTGTATTTTTGTTCAAATGTCTGTGAAATGTTTGAGGATATGCATTTTAATAGGTAAATGAGTAGTTGTTAATGTATCACAATAAAAGTTTATAAGTTTAGTTGAGAATTTTGCTTGATTTATTGGGAATTTGTGATAAAATTCTTAGCTTCTGAATCTCTATATGACTGAAAGTAAGCTATCTCGTTTCATATTAATGTAGATTTTAATATGCTACCATCTAACTTTTTATTTTACTCGAAGTCTCTTTTTTTTTTCTTTGCGAGTATAGAAATGTGTGGTGCTCTCATATCCTTAATGAAACTTACTAGAGACTTCTAGGTCAACTCCAGAATGCGAAAATTAAAGGATTACCATCTCTCCAAGAGAGTCACAGGCTGACATCCTAACAATTAAAAATGGTGCCAAATACCTTGAGAGTTTTCTTGACACTCCTAAACAATATTTTTATAGATTCACTCTGAAAAATATTGTAAGCCCTGATCAGGTTTTAGAACATTTATAGTGCTTTGTTGGTATGAAATAGGTTTTCTAGACTGTTCTACATCAACTCAACATCAGAGACCTTTACAAATAAAGGATTTTATTTTCCAGGCGGAGAGGCTTTAATTGCCATGGCAGGGTTCATCTGTGAAACAAGACCCCAAGATTCAGCCTTAGATATTAATCAAACCAATCACCCCACACCAAAATGGAGTTTGCCAGCAGTTAGAAGTCAGAGGCACCCCAAAATACTTAAAACCCTCACTCCCCATCTACCAGCTTGGAGCCTTTAAAGTCATTGATTTGTGTGGTGGAAAGGGCTCTCATCTTGGTGAAGAAATACTTAGAAGTCCTGGTTCAGACCCTGGGATGGCTGTCAACCAGAGGGGGCAACTTGGGTGTGCGTCCCTGTCCTTCTTCCCCTCAGGCTTCTCAGGTGACAGTAGTGTTGGAGGGTGGGAACTGGATCTCATTAGCAGTTTTCGCTGTAATCATTTTTAGCCACGGCTGAAGGATTTGTTCAAACAACATCTTTGTAGTATCTGATACCAATAAAAGGGGAACAGCCCTAGTTCAGGACAGGTTGGGGGCTTTATGGAGTCTACTTCTCCTTGGCCCCTGCAGTTGACCCTGGAATCCTGCCCGGAACTATAAGACTGAAGAACACAGGTTAAGAACCTGCTGGTTTGAGTCTAGGGCTCTGCATACTCCAAGTACTTTTGTGCCTCCCTAGAAGAAAATTATTTTCAAATTGATAAAGTTAATATAGCTCTTTTTATTCCCCAAATACGTTCTTGTTTGAATGTCATTATAAGTTTGTCTGCTGAATATTAGTCTTATTTTAGAGATGCCAAAATGGAGACAGAAAAATCAAAGGAAATGCCTGGGATCACAAGATTAAGAAATAATGGAATAAGAACTTAAATCTGTGCCTGCCATTTCTAAATCCTGTGCTCGTCTATATAGGCCAAATTTTCAGAAAGTTCATAGAATTTCTGATAGTAGGAACTTCTCACTGGATTTCTTTAATCTTGTTTCAAATAAAAGTGATAGTATTTTACCTATAGTCATAATATATTTATACCTGTTACAGAATAATTATTTGCAATCCATTTTTATTTTTGTGAATATGCTTATTCCTAATGTTTTACTTTGGGCCAAATTGCCGATGGTTGATATTTGCAAATAAAACCTCTAAGAAAATGATAGATAGATCACAGGTTGAGACCACTAGATAAGAGTTCCATGACTTTATACCAATCTTTTGAAATAAACTCTGTATATTTTGTCCAAGTCCACTCATCTCCTTCATTATTCTGCCTCTCAGGTCACTGCAGATAATGTTTATTTTTTTAGGACTGTAAATTGGATTTAACCTCTAGTGTTCCTTTGCCATTGCAGCTTGATGTACATCTAGTATTAATCATGAAATTTAAAAAATCAATCTGAGTGATTATACTGACACTAAAATTATTAAGTCCTTAGATTTTATGATATCCCAGAAATCTGGAAATAAATACCAGATGATTTAATCCATGATAAAACTAAAGTTTTTAATGGTAATCTCTGTGATTTAACAGAATTAAATGTTAACTGCCATGTAAAATGGGCTTTGCACCTTGATATGCTTTTTTCTCATGTCATTTTTTTCAAATCATGTTTATGCCAGGAATCACAAATGAAGATATATAGATAGCTCAATATTATTTTGGAAAGACATTTCTTTTATATTCATAGGAGGGTCAATATGGAATAATAACTTTTTTGAGGAAAGCTTTACAAAACCTTTGCAAGTCAACATTCAGGGGGATGATGCATCTGATAACATATTTCCTGCCTAAGAGCCATCATTTTCTTAGATCTCTTCTCTCTCGCTATCAAAAGTAGAGTTTTTCATTCTTCTGGAGACCATTTTCTTCAAAGAAACATCGTCTCTTTTATTCACCAGGATGACTGTTTAAGTGACATGGAGAACAGGACACAGCCAAGCGATTTGAGCTTTGTCTTCAGCATGGTGGATCCGACTGACTTATGGCGCCTAGTGCCTTGCACAGTCACACCGGCTTTGTCAGTGTCCCTGCTGAATTATTAATGGCTGTCAGCCACAAACATTCTGGGTTACTCCTAAAGAGTTAAAAAAAATGCAAGCCTTAAATCTATGAGAGCCAAGAGCTTACTATTTTCCTCTTTGCTGGAGGCATGTAATGCTTCAGCTACTAACCCACACAGTATCACTATCTGACTTCTTTTCATATTGGTTTTTGAACTTCCATCTTTCTTTAGAATGGCCGGAATAATAAATATTATCTACCTGAGATAAAAGAGCCTTTGATTCTTTCTTGGGTAGAAATAACCAATTCAGCTGCCATGAGCAAGAGCATTTTTGTGAAACATGATATAATAAATCAATGTCATGAATGGGAAAATAGTGTTATCATTGCGATTCCTCAAGTCTGTATCTACTCAGAGTATTTGAGGGATTTTGAAATCCAAATAAGAAGGAGAAGCTAACCAACTCAAGGAGAGAAATTGCTTACCTAAAGTCTTAGTGAATTATATCCTAGGTTTCCAGCTTCCTCTCAACATGAGGCTCATGAGAGAGAAATTCTATCTAGTCTGAGTACCAGACTTAGTTCTACAACTAAGCACCTGCTTGGTATTTAATCTTAGGAATCCTTTCCATGATAAAACTGATTGTATTTCCCATTTTGCTTTAGTTGCTAAAAAGCTTAGAGGCAGATTTGTGGCCTATCTCTAACAAGTATACTTGTGTCTTAAGCTAATTCCTGGCCTCATAATACTTTTTCTTTCTTTACTCTTCTTAGATACTTTCGTAAGGAATTAGTGGTTATAAATACATATATACTTAAAGGTTATTAAGACCTTTTTCAGACACTTGGTTATTTTCATAATGTTTCAGTAGTCATGCCGCTATATTTGGCATCTCTTCTGAACAGCTCATACCTCTGGATGTATTTACTTCAATTTGTCAACAGATAGGAAGTTTAGAAAGTGTGAATTACGCTGTCTGTCCAGTTAGGCTGTGTGCATGACTTCCACTGCATGTGATAGCTG